GTCCAAACTACATAAAAATAAAAACTAATGAAAGTTTTTCATTATTATTAAATATAGGTCATTAAGGGCAATATTGTCTGCAGGGGCAAGGGCATATCTGCGCATATGACCTGGTTTCTGAGTATAAATCAGCCTTAAGGGTGCGGGGAATGCCATCTGTAGAGTTCCTACGCAAAGTGCTTAAGCATAAACAAAAAGGAAAATGCTGTAATTGAGAACATATTTTTTTGGAAATGTTTGAAACCAGATCTCGACAGAAATATCTGCATAAGATAGAAAGAGTGATTTGTTTTTGTATTGAGAAATTATTGAAGTTTAAACTGTGTTATTATGGTGCAGGCATCTTTCATGCATGGCATTTATGTAATGTTTTAACGTGCTCTGTTGCACATTTCTTTGAATCCAAGCTTGCTGTGTTGTATTGCATCTACTGTATTGTTGTGATGTAGATGCATGTCATTTTTTAAAGGTTATTTTTGTTTTTTATTATTTTCTTTAAAGTAAGTAGGGCTGAAACTAATATACAGGTTATTGAAAAGCTGTCAACGTAGGTAGCACACAAACTTTAAAACATGCCGCTTGTTGAAAGAATAACCTACTTACAGCAGTAATGCATTATATACTTAAATATACTTGTTTTTGTCATTTAAAACAAGCAAGTTTAAAAAATATTTTTTCAAATTAATAGATTAATGAAAGAAAATAGAATAATTGATTATTAAAATAATCAGTATCTGCAGCCTCCTGTCTGTAACAATATTGCTCTAATGGTTGTCCTGTTAGGGTTAGGGTTACGTCCAGAGATGCAGATTCTATACATGTCAGCTCCTTGGAAATGTTGCTGCAGATCAGACCATTTCTTCTGGGTTGGAAGTCTGATTTCAAATATTTTTGAAAGCAAAGCACAAAATACAGTCGTAGTAAAACTAAGTCCTACAGGATTAAAAAACTAGTTAAAATAATTTAACCTTGAAATTTCAACAAAAAAAGGTTAAACCCTGATAAAAAAAAAAATTTGCTCCACTGCTGTAGTGTCAGTCATATATACGCTCATCATAAGTGTGATTGTCATCTAAATTTGTAACTCAGTCCATACATCTCCTGGGAAATTAACATGACCGCCTTTTTTTCAGCTGAGGGTAATTTTTGTGTTGAATCTTTCATACAACTGACAAGACAACACAACACAAAAGAAAAATAGTTTTTAAGTGGAGAAGGGGAGATCAAAAAGAAGCCTTTTCAAAGGACTGAAATCAGCAGTGCCAAAAAAACCCAAAAGCAAAACAAATGTGGACTATGTTTAAAAGAGCTGTGCCAGGAAACCCTCCCATTTAGTTCATCTCTAGTAATTCTGCAAGTGTTGATACATACATATCCCTCAGAATTACCCCAACAGCTTGTTTGATTAAATGTCATCAGGTCTGCATCCCCTGAACTTTGAGTATTCTTCATACTGACACCGTTGTGCTGCCATCGTACGAAGGACTGTTTGACTGAATCAACGGGACTTTCTCATTCTCGTTCTTTAATTTCAGATCCCGACGTCGACAGCACCAGCATTCTCCAGCAAGAGGTGGAGAAGCTCCTGGGTGTGGCCCTCCAGCACCATGCGTCCGGTGCCGACCGCAGGTCTCTGGTGCACTGTGGAAGGACTAAAGTTTTTCTCACCCAGCCCATGGTCAGTAATTACAGATGTGCACAGATCTAGCCTCTTTTGAACATCATACATTAACTGCTTCACCAATATCAGGGTTTTATGGAACAGACCAACACAAGTTTCTTTACTATACATATAAAAGTTTCAAAAAAGTAAAGTGAGAAAATGTAATCATGGCAAACAGTTTCACCTCTTTTTCATGTTTGCAGTAGATTCTACGTATAGGATTTTTCCTTATACCCTGGGGGGCAAACCTTGGCATGTCAGCCTGCAGCCAGAGGCAGCTGGTTTGATTTGCTTAACTGTAAAATCTAGAGGCCTTTTTGTTGGCATGTGTTCAACTATGCCGCTGTTTATTGCTAAAGTGTTGATGACGCGACATTGATTTTATGGAATTCTGCATTAAAATCACGCAGCAGGACATACCAGGTGGTTCTGAGTTTTTATAAATAAAACAGGCATATTTTAACACCAAAATCCTACATTTAGTAACTGGAGCTAGCTCAACATTCTATAATGGAGATGGATTGAAATATAATTGTTCCAGAAAACACACAACAGACAAAGACTTGCTAAACCTCTGGTACAGATAGTGGAACCAGTTATTACTTTATAAAATATAAATGATCATCTAATACTTTAAAAGAACAGAATTTTCAAATAAATCCTCCACCATTGTTATCTAAATATATAGCTAGCAACTCTGCTCGTCCTTCGCTGCCAGGGTTGTCAGATCTGCCTGTTTCCAGTCCAAAACAATGTGAAACCCACCACCTCCATAAAAAAAGAGCATCATTTCCCAACGGACCTATAAAACACTCGGTACAGAACACAGAGCCACGTTATTACCACAAAGTTAGCCTCTGTCTGCAGTACTACAGAAATCCAGACCTGAATCCAAATAAGAATCTGTGTGAAAAACTGCTGTTCACAAACAATATCCATACCCAAAGCAACTTGCAGCTGTAATGACAGCAAACGGTGCCGCTATGAAGTATTAACTCCAGGGGACTGAATCATTTTGCACATCCAATTTTTGAAATTATTACATCGACCATCAATATTAACAGTTTGGTCTACAAAAAAAACTAGCAACTGTTGATATAATGCCATAAACACTTTAAGGTTGGGTTATGCTTGACACATATACAATCAGTGGGGAAATTGAGTCGCAAGTCACCTGATCTGCAGCACTTATACTGTTTGACATTCCCTCATTCTAGCCGGCTACAGCGAGGCGTGTTCAGCACAAAGCCTTAGCCGACAACAGGGCATGACGAAGTAGAAAACACTTTTCAAAGTCTCTTCATGCAGTCCAAGAGTGACAGTGATTTCTTTGCAAGATTCTTTCCACGATCTGTTAATTTTGGATATCTATGAGCTAAATCACAGGATGTTTCTAGATGTCGCCAATATGAGCTGATGCTTACTAGCGATGTTTTTTTGCAAGGATCTTTCTTCATATTTACAGATTTTCCCTACATGTGCGATGCAGAAATTCTGTCCCATGGATGCTGATCAGGGGGGTATGGAAGCCAAAAATGACGTAATTTGGACCTTGTGGAAGAGTCAAGCATAAATCAAGCTGTCCTCATTAATGCTGTTCTTGCCAGGCCTGTGGTTGTTGATGGACAGCCATGTCTCTGTTCGCCTGGCTAGCCGGACTGGCTTAAGCCATACATAAGGTTTTTATCAGTCTGGAAAAGAGTGGTTCAGCTCAGTTTCAAAGGGGGACCACAGCGGGACTCAGAAGAGTCGACAGCAACAGGTTGTGGATGTGAAGCGAAAACGTTTATTGATTTTTTTAAAGCAAAGCTCGCACAGCAGTTTTTTAAAAATATATCCAGCTCATTCTGGGCAAAACAAACCATTTCTTCATTATGGCCTCAATCTTCACAGTTGTTACAGAAAAGCAGTGTTGCATCATGGTTAATTTTGACCCAAGTGTAAACACGTGCCTCCCGCTTTGCGATTGGTCTAGTTGGTTTTAGCCTGGCGAATCTGAGCTTTCCCAGATTGACAAGCTAAGTACAGAATACATGTGGCGTAACTCAATTTGGCTGCCCAGGCAATGTCATAGTAACTTTCTTGTTTTACTTGTTATACTTTGAGTATTATCAAACAATAAATTATACAAATCTCACCCGTAGAGAGCTGGAGATAGGCAGCAGCACCCCTTGCGTCTCCGCTTCGGATAAGTGTGACGTAAAATGGATGGATGGATAAATTATACAGATTCCTGTGAGATGTTAACGTATAACTCATCCTAGTGTGAAAACCTTACCCCTCCCTCTAGACCCATTTTTGAGACGCTGTGGGGCAGGGCTGTGTGGGGATGGGCAGTGGGGGATGGTGGATTGTGGTTGCAGTAGGGAAGCTACCTTAGCTTTATTAAAATAGGGACAGAAAGAAGAGGGACTCTGGTAGTTACACCAGTTAGACAAGGTCGGTAAGCAGTAAACGCAGCCCCCCACACAAGACACAGAAAGGTGGGGGGAATGGGCTTTATCAGTTGGAGCTGCTGGCTTCAAGACTAAGAGTAAGTTATGGCTGAAACCAGTTCTGCAGAAGAGGTGCAGAATGATGATGATGATGATGAAAAGCTGTATCACAATAGGAAAAATGAGGAATAAAACTATATCAAAGTACAATACTGAGAATCTTGTAAGAAGAAAAGGGCTGAATGTTACAATAAAAAAGATGCCCAGTAATGTCAACATTAAACACCTGGTTTATACAGTTTAACGGCAAAAGATAAAAAAAAGATTTTGGGGTGAGTTACACTTTAAGGCATGTCATAGTGGATTTTTTTAGGGGGCTGAAAACAAATGCTACATTTCTAAAGTTTTTATTTGTAAAAAGAACAACAATCCTTTTTTTTTTTAAACTAATATGCTCTAACATTTGTGCCGTTTTGTTGGTGTATAAGAAAAATTCCTACTTATAAAATATATTTTCTGTAGTGATATGATATATTTAAAAGCTTTGGTTAAGAAAAACGTGAGGTCAACTGAGCTTAAACTTTTTGCCAGTTTATTGTTTTTTACATTGAAATGCGTTTGGTCTCAGTGGATGTTTTAAACCCACAGCTGGATCTGCTGGAGGATCAGCGAATGAACATCCTCTCTCGATGCGCCTTCACCATTCAGAGTTGCTGGCTGCGATATCGGCGACGCAGACGCCTCGCCCGCCGACACTCTGCCACTTTAATCCAAGCAGGTAAACCGTTTCTTCTCCAGACTGGTGAAGCAGACTGGAATTAGCCAGAGCCGCGTTGGCCTCGATCCATTCCTGTGTGTCTGCAGGCCGTGACCTGATAAATCAGGAACAGCTGTCAATGTCTGCACATGGTGTTAAAGACAGGTCTTAAAATCAGGGCACGTGCTGCTGGCTAATGTTCTGTTGGGGATGAATATATGTAGACTAATATGTGACTTAGTTTGTTAACAGATCTTGTTATTGTGTGCAGCTGTACGGTCCTGGCTGGTCAGGAAACGGATCAAGAGATGGAACAGATCGGCCTCTGTGATCCAAAACACATGGAAGAAATGGAGGGTGAGAGCGTAGCGCCACCATTCTGTTTTTCTATCATTTCCTATAGAACTTAAACATAACATGGATATGTTTTCATGCCCTGGCAGACATTGTTGAAATCCTTAGCTGAAGCAGAACTGGATGATCCAACGGATCTCGTAGAGGAGGACACCCCAGAGTTGAACCCTGCTGTCAGGGAGCGGGGCTCCGTGCAGCTCCCCAGTGTACCGGAGCCCGTCCCTGTGTGCGGGTGGCCCTTGGGCCTGGCTCTGGCCTCGGCGCCGTCCATCACCGTTTCCTTGACAGCCACAGGCTTTCAGAAAATGGTATCTGTGATGACCTCCCTCAACCTACCATCCAGGAGAGGCGAGTACAAAGTAAAGACCAACCAGTACAAGCAGGGGCTCGCCTCCATAAGAGCTCAACCTAAGGTGAGGACACCAACCCCCTGTCAAAACGTCCATCAGCTCAAGAATTTTTCCATGATTCTTGTTTATTTTTTAAATCACAACAGGGATCTGTCAAGCTGCATTATCAGCGATCCCCACTTCTTTATGCCGACATGCAGCCGGACCTGAAGAGCGACGTTACGGGGTTCAACGAGATCCTGCTAGAGAAGACTTTATAAGAACGTCATATCATCTGATCTCACACTAAAAAATGACAAACCTGCTCTTTTATTCTCCTCTGCATTTAATTCAGAATATTGAATTGTGTATCTGCCCATGTATTGCAGTTTTAAATAACCTGTATATTTAAGATTATTTCCCAGCCATGTTTATATGTGCCATGCATATCTGATGTAAACATGATTATATTTATTGCAGCATTTTCTATTTTACAGAAGCACAAACTCAAAGCTGATTGTAGTACCTAAAATGTACTGCAGATGGCACAATTTAAGCACTTTAAAGAGTCAAAGCCTGCAGGAGATTATATCTGTAATTATTAGGCCTTATGTGGTGCCTTTTTCAAAAACCATTTTAATCACGAGCTTTGGATTCATGTATCCAGGTAATTAAAATTTAAAAAAAAAAATCATGAGGAATGAAACTTTTAGAAATGTTTCAAATTTCAGTACATTAAAATGAGCTGAATAGGGACTCGCCTACATCCTGCTCCTGGACACAATGTGAACAATTTATCAACAAAAGGGCTGATTAAATAACCAAAAACAAATACAAAGTATCTTGGTTCTGATGTGTATATGTGAGAACTTGTGAACTTCAGCTTTATTGAAATAAGTGCAATATATTATCATTTATTTCTTGGATCTTAAACATATTTTCCATTTCATAACCGGAAGCTTTATCTTTGGTTTAGAGAGATGTGGTTTTTAGTTATTTAGTTGATCAGTTTCAGCATTAAAACCAAACACTCTGTAGGTTTTATTTAATAGATGAAAACAAAGGGGCTCCAAACATTTCAGTTTTTTTTTTTTCTTTTAGGTAGTTTTTAGAACATTTTGAAAGTTAAAATCTGGAGACAGCAATGGCAGTAATGTGCATCTCCTTTAACTAGATTATTAAAGTAGAACCATCTCTTTCCGCATCTTTACCTCGGTTCCTCTTCATGCTTTGTTAGTTTTTTTAGACTTGGGTCGATTTAGTTTTGGTATAAGTGTGTTTCCTGTATGTCTGTGTTGTCCTTGGACAGACTGGGCCACCTGTCCTTTTCTCACCCTCCCCCCACCCTACAACAGCAAGCAGGTATTGTAAATGGGTGAACCTACCAAAGTCTTTTAAAGATGACTTAAAAAAAACAAACTTAAATCTCAAAAAAAAAAGTCAATAAAATTATTTCAATCTTCAGCTCTGAGGAATCAGTTTCTTTGTTTTTAAAGTTGTCTTTATTTGAACATTATATACATACTGTTGCACTATAATTACATTGAGAGCAGCTATGGCAGGTACAAAGAAGATATATAAGAAATTTTGGACACTTTTTATTAATCAGTCAGTTAATGCATTTCCTTCATTTTCCACAACTTTTAAACACTCGTCTGCAAACTCCACAAACAGAGGTTCCTGCATGGCGGCTTTAATCGCAGCGTCTTTGCTTTCTGCGTCGTCAACGGAGCGCAGCAGCTGTCTTAGGTGGGGGTTGCAGAGAAGATCTCTCAGCTCTGTGGATTGACCTGAAGAGAAAATGACACAGGTGAAATAAAAACCTAAGAACCCCCTTCAACAACAAAAAAAGCTTTTCTGAACTCTGGCTGTGGAAGACAAAAAAAACAAACAAACATAAAACTGAATTATTACTTAGTGACTGAAGTCTCTGTAGTGGCACTTTGTCAATGATGTCGTCTTCTTGCAGAAGATCTTCCACACTCCAAGGCTCTGCTGGGAATTTAACAAATTTGCACAAATTAATTAAGCACCATCATCCAGACATGGTCTCACAGTCTGGGACAATATATGGATTATTATGATCAACTGCACATATCCTAAAAACTTTGGGAGAAAGTAGCCATTTGCGGTTTGAATTAAATGAGTGCTTGTGGATCATAATGGCCGATTGGCAGAAAAACTGGTCCCTACATGAGCAATGTCACCTGAAGACATAGAGGCGAATATAAAGCTCCTCCAAGAAGGTAAATAAAATCAGAATCTAAAAGTACTGCCGATTTTCCACATAGATGAGTAAATTTAGAGCAAAAAACAAGTTTTTTTCCAAAGGGAAGATCAGGGGTCAGCAACCTTTACAGTCCAAAAATCCTATTTCAGTCTGCTACAAATAAAACTACTAGTTATAAGAATAATTACAATCCAAGATAGACCCTCCCAAGAAAGCTAGCTCATAAAGGTTTCTAAATACCTACTACACAAATGAGTTTCTTTCACATTAAATAATCCATTATTGTAAAACTTGAAGCATTTAGCTATAAAAACAGTGTACAACAACAGAAAAAACTTTATAAGTAGAACTTAAGATAAAAAGGAGCCGATCTGACTTTAAAACAGAAAACTACCAACAAGAACACTAAAGCTGTAATTGAGTACGGGTTGAATAAATTATAAACATGGTCGACAGAAAAAACAGTCTTGATCCAAACAATTAAATAGGTGAAAACTATGTTGTTTCATTAGTAAAAAAAAAAGAAAAGATTACAACACTTTCCTCATAAGAAATATAAATTAATCTTAGAAAATATTAAGTGGGAAAACCAGACACCAACAGTGCTAAGAGTGTGTAAACTAAAGCATCGCTCTTATTAAAGCAACAATGTTTTAAAAAGGACTACAAACATGTCCTCCAGTGAGATGACAACTGACTGAGCAAATAACCTGCCATTATCGGAACGCTAAATGTTATGCTAGAAAAAGTAGAACAGGGAAAAATATTACAATTCTGCACATCATTAAAAGAAATCTTACTTTAAACTGAAAATTTGCCCCTCATCGTCCTCTTAACGATGCTCCATAGTTTTCCTATAAGCTTCAGGTGAGGACAGTTAACAGGCCAATCCAAATTCTTTCATAGATTTATGTTGATATTCCTCTCAAGGCTGCTGCAACCCTGCTGTTGGAGCATCTTTCTCTACTACTCGTTTTCCTTCTACTCAACTTTCCATAAATATACATGGATAAAATATCACAAAGCAATTAGATTCATTAGCATCAACCATTTGTGGTTCATCTGGAAATCTGTAAAGTCAGTAATGCTTTCATTTTAAAGACACATCTTGGCTAATGAGGGTGTGACTCTTATTAGTTTTAAATATTTCCCTTTCTAAATTTTTCTAAGCTGCTGGATTTTTGCTTTCATTACCTGTAAGCCATAATAATCAGTTACTATGAATAAAAGTACATTTCTCTATATGATTGATGAATCTATATACTATCTAAGCTTCTCTTTATTACATAAATGACAAAAATATAGAACTATCTTTACCAGATCCAGCAGCATCTTTAGATGCAGGACTTTGTGAAGCCGGTTTCTCAGCAGGAAGGCAGGTGTCTACAAATACATGATAACAAATGTTAACTTCAGGTTTAAAGACAAAGTCCAAAAATGTAAATGTCAACTTTTAGGATTTAAGCTTTTACCTTTGTGCTTCTTGTAACAGCCCAGTGAACAACTGCAAGCAATTAAAAAACATAAGGAAGCAGTAAGTTACCATGGAGATCAGGCATATTTATACTCAATTACTATTATTTAATTTCAGAATAATGTTTATGAATCCTTCATGGAAAAAAACTTACAGCTAAAACAAGGGGAAGGAATGATATCAATTTACCGTAAATGCATTTTCTACTTTAAGTTTCAAAGTGGCCTGTAGGGGGCAATTCAGAAATACCTTTGACCCAAAAAGGCTTCCGTCCCATGTGTTGAAGCGTTTGTGTTATGTTTTTCTTAAAAGCATATTTATATAGAAAATAGGAAATAAGCGTACACAGCACCGGGATAAAATATCACTGCGATCAATTTATTTCTCTTATATTTTAATCACCAACAACATACATTGCTACGCTTTACTCCCGTTGTTTACGTAGTTTTCTGACATGTAGTTTTACCCCTTTAATTTGTACCAAAAGTATAAAACTATTTTTTAAGAGACATGCATATAATCCCAAAGATTGTGAGATTTTTAATCTATGTTTACTTATTTAATGCAGATAAACAGGTAAACTAACACGTGACAAGCTAGCCTGTAAGCACCCAAACTCGTTTACTTACTATCGTATTCTGCAGCTTGGACATCTGTATTTTGGGGTTTGTTCGCTGCACACGCTGCATATCTGCATTGTTCCAGACGGATACGGCTCTCAGAAAACCAGAAAAGTGCGAGATTAATTTCTTTCAGTACGCCAGAGAATGGAAATTATAGTTTCCGGTTGAGAGGTGTACCTTTCACAATAAAAGCATCAGTTTCCGCTGCAGAAAAATATCGAGCTTGATATTTTTCATGCTAAAAAATATTCGTTATATTTGGATTATATATTGGAAACATAGAACAAATCGTTGTTAAATAATGATTATGTATAGGAGAGGGGGAGTCGGTGGGTCAAGGGATCGGTCTTATGTGATCCTGAGTTGTTTGGAGAACCATAATACATTAGGAAAGATATAAATGTGATTAAAATAAATGAATTTGCCAGAAAATAAGTTAATATGTTAGGTTTATTCTTTATACATCATGTGCATTGTTATTCTGTTAGCCAGATTAGACAGATTAGAAGGCCTTCCCTCACATTGTGGATGTCACTGTGTGTATGGAGGTCATCTAATCAGGACAGCCTTCATGTCTTTAGAAATACACAGGATATGGGCACATCTTGGAGCCACTCTGATAAAGGGGAGCTATCTGTAGTTCTTGGGCATAGAGGCAAGATGCATACAGGTCAGGGCATTGATGGCGTATCAGTTTTTGATACGGACAGCTAAGCATCCACCTGATGTAACACATGGACTCATGAGGTATAAGAAGCAGGGGATGACCTTGTTTGGGGCTCAATCTTTGCCGGACACCCGCTGACGTTTTTTGAGCCCACAGCTGTGCAAGCTCCAAGCATTTTCTCTGTCCTGTAACGACCTGATCTGGAATTAACTCTGTTACTTTTTTACTCCTGATTTATAGTCCTTTTTTACATGGTTTTACCCAGTTTGAGTTAAGAGAAAAGAACCGGTAGGTAAGTCCCGAGGTGCAGCTTCAGGGGGACATAACTTCCATATTAAACAAATATATTATTAATAATATAATTAAGTTGTAAAATGTAATATAAATGTCCCATTAAATAATATAAAATACATTTTAACGTACTAAAATTCCATTCAAAATGTAAACAGCTGAAATGTATTGGAACCTCAAATTTATAGCTATGTGAGAAAGTGGAAGCATCTGGTTTCATTTGTCCACCTATGCAATCAGTGCTAACTGATCTAGTCCTTTGAATACAGGAACACTTTCCAGGAAAGTTATTTTATGACACTAAATTACCCAATAGAAATGACTGCATGTGTTACAGGATCTTGCAAAATCGACTTTTTACACAATAATTGTTTTTTGTAGCAGACCGACGCAAAGCGTCGAGTCAAAAAATGGAAAGGAAATTACTATTTATTTGGCAATTAGATCTAAATTTGCACACATATGTGTTGTGAATATATTCCCTGAATACACTGCCACCATGTTGAACCATGATGTGGAGATGGATCAAGCCAACTGCAACAAGGGTCACGCTTCAGAAAACTTAAACTGGGGCACGGATTCAACGTCCAGCAGAGGTTGAACAAACGGAACGATCCTGCGAGTGCATTCAAGCAAAGATTTTCAAAGATGAGACAAAACAATGCGACCCATTTCTTTTTCATATTAAGACATTTTATTCAATCCAGTACAGTTTAATAACACCTGCACCAATCTGACCATATTTATGCCACAAACTTTACCAAGAACACACACAGCTGACCTATATAGCTCTGCACTAAATATTTGCAGAAAGCTGTAACTTGAGAGGGGTGGGTCCAGTTACAAGGCAGGTTAGGAATGGAGAGCTGTCTCGTGACTGATGAGTGGGCATGCCCTCAATGTCACAACCTCCATTTTGCTGGATCAGGAAAGGCAGGAAAAAACTTGGCCGTTGTCAACCTGAGAAATCCATCTGATCTGCAGAGAAAATAATACAAAAAAATTAAATAAAATAAAGCTTCCTGAGACAAATTAACATGGCTATAACAAGACAATGCAGGACCAACAGGTTTAAATCGTGTTAATGCATGCATATGAGCACTATACTGCACTAATATATATAGATATATAATATATCTCTATATCTATATATATACTGCACTACTTTATATGTATATATATATCTTGTCTTTTGATGCTAAACGTCAAATGAAAGCCAGCTGCATTCTGACAAAGGCAGAGGTTTGACTAGTCAGCAAAAACTGGTTGCTTAAAACAAAAACAACCAAAAAAAGAAAACTTTTACAGTGTTTTAAAGGTTAGACTGCAACATGCTGCCTCTCACCTGTAAACAAAGGGGCATCATGAAGAGGCGCTCTTGGTTCTTCTGCGCTTCATTTGGCTGTTGTGATATTTCTCAGCGATCTTCCTCTCGTGTCCAGCGGGGCTGTGGCGGTTGGTGTTCAGCTCGATCTCCCTCTTGGTTCGGCCCTTGCCTCCGGCGTGGCAGGGATATTCGTGCAGGTTGTAATAATCGTACTGATCGTAGTGCGCCTCCTCGAAGGAAGCAAATCTTTCCATATCTGTCGCCATTTGGGGAAAGTGGAGCAGCAGCTGTTTTCCTAACAGTCGGATCTGGGAGCAAGTAAATAGATGACGTCACTCTGTGTTTATATACGCAGGGCAACGTCATCACGCAGCCTGGTTGTGCTTTTTTCCCTAGTTGTTATTATAGCCTACACCACTGTTGTTATTACAATGTGTGAAATTTTTTTTACAACGGATTACTTACAGTTTTATTGATTTATAAATAAAAAAAAATCAGTCATTCTTTTGTTAAAAAATATGTAAATATTAATATTTGAACATCAGAATGCAATTTTTTATTTTTTTTATTTATTATTATTTTTATTTAATTGTCTTGATACCAAAAAGAGCCCAACAGATTTTACTTTCACAAGTGGAGCAGTGCAGCTATTGCCATAGTGTTCAGCTTGATTTATGCATATAAAGCTTTATTATGATTATACAGAGGGTATTACAGATTATATGGACACTGCAATGTAGGTAGAACAGGAAAGGAAAAACTGAAAAAAGGAGAAAAGATTAAAGAAAGAGGTGATAAAAGGGAGATAACGATAAAAACATCTTCAGTCTGCTTCATCACCTTCAAATAGATGTAAAACAAACAGCACAACCAACGGACATGGTACAAGATATACAATAAAGTAACACCTAGATACTATCGCTGAAGTATAACTAGAATTATTTAATCTGACATGTATACTGTCGTATACTGAGAATGCAAGTCTAGCAGATTTTGCATATATCTGTACACTGACTGTCAACCTCACACCTGAATATGCATTGATCTGGTTTATCTTATTTCACCTATGAAGTTTTTGAGATGGTATTATTATTATTATTATTACTACTACTACTACTACTACTACTACTAATAATAATAATAATAATAATAATTGAATAATAATAATTGAATTTTATTGATCTCATATTGGAGAAATGTATCCCTGCATTTAACCCATCCCATTGGGGAGCAGTGGGCTGCCAATGCCAGCTTTGTGATGCCAGTCGCCATCAACCATGAACAAGCAATTTGTCACCTGGTATGGTGATTAATGCCAATAAACCAAATGCTCTTGCACCATTAGAAACAAAGAGCTCTGCATGAATGAAGACTCCTCTGAGACTGTTCCCAGGCAATCTTCAGCATCTAGAGGGGAGCACGGTCCTCCTCTGTGGGTGAAAATGAGGAGAGCACACTAGATGCTTCCCTGCCAAACACTGAAACATCCCCAGCCGGCTCCTCCCGGCCCCCTCTGGCTTCACACCTACTCCAGCATCGTCTGTCGCTGCTAAACCTGCCGATGGCACTAATGCTGCTTCAACCACGTCAGCCTTTTCAACCCAGGAGGCTACCACCCTCACAGCATCGTCATCATTATGCTCTTCCTCCCCTGAGCCAGGAGAAGCGAGTGCTTCAGGAGCTGGAGGCAGTAGTAGCAGCTCAACAACAACTGCTGGGGTGAAGCCCAGACAACAGTCCCCTAATGCTCCAGCATCAGATCATCTTCCACCAGGATAAAAATCCCATTTGGATGCTAAGATCCTATCCAGATCTGTCTGACATCACTGCTGCCAAGCAAACATGAATGATGTGCATTCCATAACTAGATATAGTGACTTAATGTCACAATATTTTTTTTGTTTTTTTTTTTTATAACTGCTGCTTACCTTATCAAGGCTGCACTTTAAAAAATGAAATTGTCTAGAGAGCTGTCCTAAATGAAATGTCTTTTTTTTTTTACACTTGTGTGTACAAAATGACAAAATAAATCTGTCTAAGTCAATGTAAGGTGAACCCAACTACCTCCATGAATTATTTGGTGCCAATCCAAATATCATGCACACACGTATATGCACCAAGTGGCAGGCACCATTCAAAATTTCCTTGGGGAGTTTTGAAGTTTATTTTTCTCATGTTAGAGAAATTTACCTCTGCATTTTGACCCATCCCCTTGGGGAGCAGTTGGCTGCCACTGTGCAGCGCCTGGGGAGCAGTGTTTGGTTAAGGGTCTTTGCTCAGGGACCCAGAGTGCAGGCTGTGGGGATCAAACCGGGTACTTGCAACCTTCTCAGAGCACAAGTGCACTGCTCTAACCCACAAGGTGAAATCTGCCCCAAATACTCCACTCCAATTCTGATGGAAAGTAAATCTCCACCCAGGTCAAAGTCTCATGCAGCTTCTAGTTTTTCTTTCAGGATTTTCCTGTTTTACCTCCTCCTTTCATCAGTTTAACAAAATAATCTCTGTTTTTAAAAATGCATTTATAATGACATTAAAATAGTTGCGTTATCAGGGCCGGATTTTGGATTTTGGGGTCATCTGTTGCTGCCATATCAACTGCAGCAATAAACAGTCCAATCATGTGGCTTATACTTTTTGGTCACATTCCCAATAGCAATAAACAAAAATAACCTGAAGTGCATTTGCAGCTCCAGATACTTTTTCTCTGCAGGTGCTAAAGGGGGGCCAAGCATTAAATTGAGGGTCTATGAAGCATCCTTTGTTTCTATTTTTTTAATGCACACTAATGCAAACAAAAACAGAGGGGCCCTCACTACTCTAAAATCTGCAGTAAACATATACACGCAATGTCAACAATTAAGTGAATAATGAATATGTCGGGTTCTGAATATTTAAAACATGCATGTAGAGTGTAGCATGACACATACAATGTTACAATCAATTCACTGTATTTTTCCTAAGATAATGGGAGAACTAAATACAGTGAATTAAGCAGCAACACCCACATATGTAAAGCTATTAATAGGCAAATTAATTATGAGTGAAGAGTTACCTATAATAAATTAGTATATTTTTAATTTAAAGCTCTCTGCAATGGTTGCATCTGATAATAATTGTTGGACCCCATGGTAATAATAAAAAAATCTATCTATCTATCTATCTATCTATCTATCTATCTATCTATCTATCTATCTATCTATCTATCTATCTATCTATCTATCTATCTATCTAT